AATTAAACTTAAATGTATAATTTAATTTTCTATTTCATAATATAATATCACAGATAATATTTCATATCATAGATAATATCTGTTTTACAGAATTTATGAAACTTGTATATTTATTTTAATCTTTATCTTGGAATAAATTAAACAATAAAAAGTAAATAAAAAGTATATTAAATAAACGCACACCATTAGTTGTAATTTATTCTTAATGTGCAATTTAGCATTGTGCAAGATTATAGTTTGCAATACTAGCGAAGAAAGTTGTCATGTTATTGATTCATTTATAGTAAAAAAATTATAGTAAAAAAATTATAGTAAAAAATAATAACTAAAAAATTATAACATTTCAACTTTTTGTTCTGTTTCTGTATGTATGAATTAGAAACACAAGAAATATATAACGCTTATAGGTATACATATGTGAAACTATGCAAGGAGTGTATATTTTGAGATTTTAGGCAAGATATATAAAAATCTGAGACGATGTATTTCGATCAAATATTTTGTTCAGAATATCGTCGCTAAAGAGAATGTATATCAGATGAATGTATATATATCAGATTGTAAATATGAAAATTTTAATTGTATTTTTATTTTAATTGTATTTTTTCTGTATTTTTTGTTTCTTAAAAATATAAATTTAAATTTAATTTAGTATTTTCATTTAAATTCATACTAATTAATAAGATTGCAACTTTTTATTTGTATTAATAAATGTATTTTTATTCAACAAAATCGATGTATTTTTTATTGAAAATATTAAAGAAATATTAAAGAAAGAATAAATCATATTTATTTTTCCTTAGAAATGTAAATACGTTTATACATATTCTTAAAAAATATGTAATTTCTTATAAGAGAAACGCAATAAGTTACAATATAATTCTGCGTTAAAGTTTACATATAATATAAATTAGTTCAACTGTTTAAAATAAATATTTCTTTTTTGAAAAACGCTAGAGGAAAAAAGATACATTGTTTTTAATATTTAAAAAATCGACACTGAATAATTTATGGGATAGGACGATATCCATCCATGGTTTCTAGAAACGACATTTTTTCGCCATCGAGTAATTTTACGTCTTTTACTGAAGAGACCGAAAGATATGGTGGTTTATCATTTTCAGGTACTCGCATTCTTCC